CCTGAGCATTAAGCCTGAGGGTACCTGAGATGTGTCTGCCTTTCAGGGATGTGGGCAGGGAAGAGGGTGAGGCCTGATTATGGGCAGTTGCCCCACAAATATGTATTCTTCCCTCTTCGTTGGATTTTATTATTATGTTTCACGTTCCTTAGTGACTTTCACTTTAGAAGAACACACAAGCTGGGTTGATACTCCACAAAACAGTTGAAAATAAATGTTGATTTTTAAAGAGAATCCCAGTAGAGACTACCTACACTGAGGTCTGGATCAAGGTCTCCTGTCTCTATGACATCCCCTGCACCTTCTTTTCCCATTCACACTACTTGCTCCCCCATCACTCTCACCATCTCCCATCGGGAGACACAATGGTCCCAATCGCCATCAACCGACAGCTTTGGTGCATCCTCCATATATCAGATTGGAGTTCCTAAAACTCCAGTTGGGAGTTTGGAGGGTTCCAGCCTTGTCACTTGCCTGCTTGGAAACCATCTACATCTCCCTGCTATCTATAGACTCATTCTTCTCAGACCCCATAATATTATCCCAAACCTACTTTTTCAAAAGCTGGTTTCCAAGCTACCTTTCAGGAACCCTGTATGATTCATGTGTGCTTTAAAACATCCTGCCTCTAGACCTCTGTTCCTGCCCCCTTCCCTCCCTAACATACCTCCCAGTGTTGAATGAATACATAAAGGTTCTATTATTCATTTCCATTTCCGTGTAATCAAATCTTACCACTCTTCCAGGTCCCAGCTCAAATACCATCTCCTCTAAGAAGACTCTCCTGCTCATATTTTTGGCCCTTCAGTTTGCATAAAACTGTCTCTTCTTAAATTTATACTTCACCCTTTTCTAATTTATTTACATGCTCTGGATCTCCTTGAAAAAAAAATTGCAGGTTCCCTATTGGAATCCCCCTGGGCCTAACACAGTGTTTGAATAGGTAGCAGGGATTCACTACTTTTTGATACACTTTCTTTCATTACAAAAGTCATACATGCACATATAAAACATTTAAACAGTGCAAAGTCATCAAATGAATAAATTTCCCCAAGTCACTCTTTCTCAATTTCCCAGCTATTACAAGTTTCTTACTTATATACCTCCTAGAACTGTATAGGAATATACAAAGACCCAGGCATACTTTTTTTTTTTAAACAAATGGGATCATGCTTTGCATCTTGCCTTTTTCTTACCATAGATATTGGAGGTTTTTTCATACGATATATGGATTTACCCATTCTTATTAATCAATTTGCACACGCTCATGCTGTCATAAGTAAGATAAGGTAGGCTATTATTAGGTCATATAAGATAGGTGTTTTAAAAAAAGATTTTTTTAAAGTAATCTCTACACTTGGGGCGCCTGGATGGTTCAGTCGGTTAAGTGTCTGCCTTCGGCTCAGGTCATAATCCCAGAGTCCCATGTTGGGCTCCCTGCTCAGCACAGAGTCTGCTTCTACCCTCTCCCTCTGCCACTTCCCCTGCTTGTGCTCTCTCTCTCTCTGTGTGTCAAATAAATAAATAAAATCTTAAAAAAAAAAAACCCACTAATCTCTATACCCATCGGGGGCTCAAATTCACAACCCCAAGGTCAAGAGTCACACACTCTACCAACTGAGCCAGCCAAGGTAGGTTTATTTATTCACTACTAAGTGAATTTGGGGTCAAAGGTTACATCCATGCATTTTATGTTTGGGCCACATTACCATGTGAAGAAACTGTGTTCACCTGTATGAGGGTGTCTCCTTCCTGGCACCCTAGCTTCGTCTGAGTATTTCCATAGTTTTAATTCTTGCCTATTGAACAGGTAAAAATGTATCTCATTATTCTTCCAGTTTCTATTTCTTTAGTTATGAGTGAGATCTAGCATTTTTCCTTCTTTCTTTTTCACATTTCTGTTTCCAAGAATCTCCTTCTCTTTCCCTTTACCTAGTTTTGTATTGATTTTTAAAATCACCTATCTGTTTATGAGGTTCACTCATCCTGTCAGTTTGCTGATAGTCTTTTAAGTTGTTTTTACCAGCAGTTTTTTTTTAGTAGTGGTCAGATTCATCAGACTTTTCTTTTTTGGCTTCTGGGCTTTACATCCTGCTTAGAAAGGCCCTTCTCATCCCCAGGTATATATTTTAAAAGTTCATCATTTCTTCTTAGTACATGTGGTTTCATGTTTAAAAAAATAACTTATGCATTAGAACCACTTTGAATTAATTTTACTTCAAGAAGAAAGGAATTCAGGTGTATTTTTTTTGAAAGGATCAGTCAAGCACCCCAACACCATTCATGTTTGTTCATTATCATTGATGTGAAATATGATTTTAATCATATGCTAAATTCCAATGTATTTCGCCTTATTCCTACCACACTCTGTATTCTATTCCATTGATCTGTCAGCACCAAACTCCTTTTTTTTAAGTTTTTTTTTTAAGATCTTATTTATTTATTTGACAAAGAGAGACAGAACACAAGCAAGGGGAACAGCAGAGGGAGAGAGAGAGGCAGACTACCCCGCTGGGCAGGGACCCCCAATGCAGGGCTCGATCCCAGGACCTGGCGATCATGACCTGAACCGAAGGCAGATGCTTAACCGACTGAGCCACCCAGGTGTCCCTAAGATTTTATTTTTAAGTAATTTCCACACGTCTTGTGGGGCTCCAACCTACAAGGCCCCAGATCAAGAGTCACCCGCTCTACCGATTGAGCCAGCTAGGCGCCCTTAGTCCCCTTTTTTTAAATAAAAAATATTTTTGGCTATTCTAGCAGGTTCCTTGTGCTCCATGTCCCACCTGAATAAACTTTATGATCCTTGAAGAAAACTTAAAAAATTCTGTTAATTTTTTTTACTGGAAACATACCAAATTTATAGATTAATTGTGGTAAACTGATATGCTTCCAAATTGAGTCCCTAATTTCATGTACCTCTTCTAGTGAGTTCCCCAGTAGGTTCTAAAGTTTTCTTCATACAAACCTTACACATTTCATATCACATTTATTTCTGAGTATTATTATTTTTTTGCTAATGTAAATGACCTGTTTTATTATATTTTCTCACTGGTTACTGTTTTTTTTTTTAATGAAAAAGCTATTGATTTTAATTTCAATTTTATAAGCAGATAATTGAATTTTCTTAAATTTACTTTTTAGGTTTTTTTCAATTAAATTTTAGATTTCACAGGCATAAAATCATGTCAGCTGCAAATAAAAATAATTTTACATCTTCCTTTTCAATTTTTACCTTTATTTCCTTTGGCTAATTACACTTGCTCATATCTCCTGGAAAATGCTCCCTAGTAGTGCTGGTAATGGGCATCATCGGCTCATTCATGATTTTAGCAGCGATTCTCCTATGCTTCACCTGGCCTTTGGTTCAGAAAGTATCTATCTAGCTTTGTATGGCTAAGAGTGTGTAAGGGCATGCATGTGTGTGTATGAGTGTGTATTTAATTGAGGGATGGATGTTGAATTTTATCTAACACCTTTTAAGCAAATTTGAGCGAGTTACGCAGTTCGTCAACTTTGACCTACTAATATGTAATTAAACTACTAATTTACCCAACTTGGAACCGTCCTTGACTTCTTGGAATGGACCGAACTTGAGAATGGTATATTTTCTCCTTTAATGTTACTGGCTTCTGTTTTGTTAGGAGTTTCTTGAAAATGGATATTAATTGAAATTGAAATTGGTCTATAGTTTTCTTTTGGGCATGTGTCCTTTTTGGAAAAAGAAATGTTTTACCTTCATACATAGAAACTGGGCGGGGGGAGGGAACAGAAGACAAACAACTCAAGCTAAAATGGGTAAAGAATGTGACTGTGCAACTCTCAAAAGAAAAATTACCAACGGCTAAAATTATATGAACCGCCCCCACCCCCGCCCCGTCATCACTGGTAACGTGAAAATTCCAACTGCTAACCCTTTCAGGCTATCTTTCTTTTACCTGCATCCCTGGTATCATACAACGAAGCAAAGAGATCTCTGCCTATTCTGTTAGTCACGACGGTCCTTTTTGTCCTCACTCTCAGAAGCACTGAAGCATATCCATAGACACTTGGGTTTTAATTCCTCTAGCAGGTAGAAGAAAAACTTCAGTGATCTCTCCAAACAGAACATTTAAAGATAGTGGGTTCTCACTGATACCTGTTCAGGATTGTTTTCCTTCTTTTTTTTTTTTTTTTAAGATTTTATTTATTTATTTATTTGAGAGAGAGAGAGTGGGGGGCGCATGAGTGGGGGAAGGAGCAGAGGGAGAGGGAGAAGCAGACTCTTCGCTGAGCAGGGAGCTGGACGCCGGATGCTGGTGGATCCCAGGACCCCGGGATCATGACCTGAGCCGAAGGCAGATGCTTAACCGACTGAGCCCCCCAGGCACCCCCCAGGATTGTTTTCTAACCGGGTCTAAACAAGCTCCTTCAGCAGAGTTGCTGCTAGAACTTCATACTGAACTCTCTGGAAATGCCAGATGCATTTTAACACAAGCAAGTCATTCGAGAAATCCGGGTCTCTGTTTCTTCATCTAGAAAATGCTTATGCCGGCCTTGATAGGCTCTAAAGAGGATGAAAGGAAATGATGCATGTTGAAGCTCTTTACGATCCTAAAAGAATTTGAAATCATACTTTAAGTAGTCTGGCGGAATATATGTGAACACTTAGTCTCTCGGATTACAATTTCATGAAGGACATCTAGCCTCTTCCATAGCAACTAAGGCAACCTGTCCAGGAAAGGGCCTTTCTCCCAGGCACCTCCATGCCTCTTGCAGCCCTTCCCTTTGCTGCCACCCACCCCCACCCCCCGCCTGCTTCTGCAGAGGGTCCTGCTGGGGTGAGCAGGTGGCGCTGGGACAGACACACTCCTTGCACATCCGTCAAGCCCTGCCTCGCTGTATCTCATTCGGCTCATTGGGGCTGCAAGGTCAGAGTGAAACACAACTTCTTCTGCATTGCGCTATCAGGACCACACTCAGGGTAAGGGTCCGGATGTATGGAAGGTGAGACTACTCACGAGACACAGAGGCACAGAACTCCAGGCATGGACTCGCTGTCCCTTATCAGGAAGTTGCCGTCTATCCCGTCCTCCAGCAGCAGGGTCTCACAGTCTCTCTTGGACAGAGGGCCGTGGTAATAGGGCAGATCCATGGGGAGCCTGCTGGGAGTTCTGTAATCCATCTCCAAGTCCAGGGCCGGCTCCGAGGAGGGGACTGGAGGAAGGGGCCAACGGGAGCCCGTGGGAGTTCCTCTTCCACCCACTGGTAGGAGTGAGACTGTGAGACCGTTCTGCGGGACACAGAGAGTCTTGCAAGATTCAGGAAATGAGAGCGGTGGGGTGATGAAGTGACCACACGTGGCAGCCTGTAAATGCCCTAGTGTGATTCAGAGAAGTATGTGAGAGCAGTGTGAGCACACAGTATCCTCAGTGATGCTCATGCCTGGAGCTGCAGGGCTGACGCTGGGCTCCCCGGACCTGGCTTGCAGCCCTGTATATCACCCTAAATCCTCCATTTTTCACCTTCTCTGGCTACTGGTGTTCCTTTCAAGAGCACACCACTGCCTTTTGCTGTGATGGATGCCCACGGCCTGCTGAAGCTACCTCTGATTATGCTATGCTAAGTTCATAACAGGTACCCAAACAGTGTGCAGATGCTGAATGAATCCAGGTGTGTCCCAGTGTAAAGGAACAATTGAAAAGGTAGGACTTCCACAGGTCAAATGGCATGAAAAATGGAAGATGTTCTCTTCCCCAAAATGGGAATAGAAAGCAATTGAACACAAGGGGTGTTGGGGGGGTGGATAGCCTGTCCCTGGTTGAGGCTCCTAGCCACTGATGAACAAAGCCTGCTGTTAACATCTTTCAGCATTATGTCTTTGGGGGAAGGAGCCGGTGCAGGTGGGAGGGATATCTGAGCATGCAAAATTAGTTCAGGGATGTATCTCTAGGTGGAAGAAAAGAATACAGTAGCCTTGGTTTGAATATCCTCGGGTCCTCTGAAGTTCCCATTTTGGAGGACAGCAGTGATGTGTCCCCATGAAGAAAGACCAAGAAGAGTCTATCCAGCCAGAGATGCTGAGCCCTCTTTAGACAAGCTGGTATTGATGAAAAAATCCTTTCCCCCCTTTTCTTTTTTTCTTTCCTTCTTTCTTTCTTTCTTCCTTCCTTCCTTCCTGAGGCTTTTCTACCAAGATAGATATCTACCAGCTGATATTCTTGGGAAAGGGGGCTTCTGTCACCTGAGGGTCAGAGTTTGCCTTAAGAGTAATTTCTCTTTAAGATTTATTTATTTATTTTAGAGAGAGAGAGCATGAGCGAGAGGGGCAAAGGGAGAGGGAGAGAGAATCTCAAGCAGACTCCGTGCTGAATGAGGAGCCGACGTGGGGCTCCATCTCATGACCCTGAGATCATGACCTGAGCTGAACCAAGAGTCAAATGCTTAACCAACTGTGCCACCCAAGCGCCCCATTCCTAAGAGTAATTTCTAAGACCTCCTCCCTCTTAGCTTTATTGAGACATAATTGACAGATAACATTGTGTACGTTTAGGGTGTACATGCGTTGATTGGATATATTTATACATTGCAAAATGATTACCACCATACCATTAGCTAACACGTCCATCTTGTCTCCTAATTACCATTTCTTTTTTGTGATGAGAACATTTAAGATCCACTCTCTTAGCAACTTTCAAGTATGTAATACAGTATTATTAACTATAATCACCATGCTGTACATTAGATGTCCCAGAACTTATTCATCTTACAACTGTAAGTTTGTACCCTTTGAACAACATCTCCCTGTTTCCTCCAAGGCCTTTTTTTTTTTTTAAATTAACATATAATGTATTATTTGTTTCGGGGGTACAGGTCTGTGATTCATCAGTCTTACACAACAACCAGTGCTCACCACAACACATATCCTCCCTAATGTCCATCACCCAGCCACCCTATCCCTCCACCCCCCTCCCCTCTAGCAACGCTTAGTTTGTTTCCTAAGATTAAGAGTCTCTTATGGGATGCCTGGGTGGTTCAGTCGGTTAAGCATCTGCTTTTGGCTCAGGTCATGATCCCAGGGTCCTGAGATCGAGTCCCACGTTGGAATCCTTGCTCGGCAGGGAGCCTGCTTCTCCTTCTGCCTGCTGTTCCCCCTGCTTGTGCTCTCTCTCTCTCTCTCTATGACAAATAAGTAAAATCTTAAAAAAAAAAAAAGTTAACCTTTAAGAAAAAAAGTCTCTTTTGTCTCCCTCTCTGGTTTCATCTTGTTTCATTTTTTCCTCTCTTCCCCTATGAT